ATTTAATTTTGGATTAAATTTTTCTAAATGAGATTTTTCATTATTATGAATGAACATCTTACATCAAAAAATATACAAATATGACAAATTTGGTGTTCTCCCTGTAAGAAGTTCATAGGGTGTTTTGTTAAGTTTTGATTAAATGTTCACCATATTCAGAACATAACATGCAATATTAACCGCTTCAACTCAAAAATATTTAAAAAGTAAAAATTCTGTCAATATGGCTCTAACAGTTTCAATTAATGTTATGTTCTTTCTTTCAACTGCCACATTTTGTTGAGGGGTCCTAGGTGCAGAAAAATTGTGATCAATTCTATATACTTTACAAAAATCCTCAAATTTTTTATTTTCAAATTTACCTCCGTGATCACTTTGAATAATTAGAATTTGATATCCTAGTTTTATTTGAATCCAAGTCAAAAAATATCTAAATTTCTCAAATAATTCTCTTATAAAATAAAATTTTAACCCACGTGAATCTTGAGAAATCATCAATTATTATAAATTCATATACCTTCCCTCTTAAACTTACAGTGCTAATCGGTCTAAAAAGATCCATATGAATTATTTTTAATAATTTGCTAGTTTTAAGATCCTTAGTGAAATGAAATGAGGATTTCACATGTTTTTCTAATTGACATGCACCGCAAAAGTGATTCTTAGTAAAGTCTAGTTTTGGTATACCTTTAACCAGATCCTTTTGGGTAAATTTTTCAAAGATTTTTCATGCTAACGTGACAAAACCTCCTATTTCATAACCATGATTCATCAAAAATTATTTTTAAACAAAAAATATTATGAGTTTTAATACAGTTCAAATCTAACATATAAACATTATTTACCCTAGTTCCATATAATATATCATTTTCATTTTAGCTTAATATGCATGTAGTGAGAAAAAATTTAATGTTATACCCTTTATCACATAGATGACTTATACTTAACAAATTATACTTTAAGCCTTCTACAAAAAAATATATTTTTAATGAAAAATTATTCAAATTTCCTAGTGGTATTATCTCCTAGTGCAACCTTGCCTCCATTCATGGCTTCCAGCAATATTAATTGCGTAGTATCTCAAGTGATATGCTTCGAACAACCGCTGTTCAGGTACCAAATGCTCTCACAAAGTTTTGTATGAAAGCGTACCTACAAAATTATTAAATTTTAGACTTAGAAATCAAAACACATTTGGATTCTCCTCTTAGCAAAATTAAATTAGATGCATGTATGAGATGACTTATTTTATACACCTTGCGTCTCCACACTAAATGAATTTTTTTATGTAAAGTACAAGTATGTGAAATATGTCTAATCATCCCACAAGTAAAACGCTTAACTCCAAGAAAAGGGCTTTTCAATTTCTGATAATAAATTTCCCTTCCTAAGTTTTAAAATTTTTGTCTTTAAAATAGGATTAGTAAAATCTTCAAGTGTATGGGGTGTCCTATTTTTCTCGAGAGCATTCACTTTCAATTTAAGAAATATGTTTACATCTTCTAACACATTAATATCATATTTTAGATAGTGCTCGCTATTTTCATATTCATCCTTAAAAGTTTTAAATTATTTTTATAGTTCAATGTATGATGATTTTAGAATATCATTTTATTTATTCAAATCATCAAATTTTTCAAGTAAACTCATGTGGTTGTTGTCAATCAGTGTGTGATCTTTCCTAAGAATTTCATGCTCCTTTTGTAACTCTTGCAATTCTAAGTTCAATCTAGCATGCATTTTATAAAGTTTTCTACATGCAGTATGAATTCTTTCAGAAACTTTAAGCAATTCATCATAGGTTAAGTCACATACCTCTTATTCATCTGACTAATCAAGATTATCAGTCATTAAGCACAAGTTGGTGACTTCTTCTTCTTTTTTTTATTTCCAACGAATCCGAAGCTGAGTCCGCCCAGAAATCTCTCTAAAATCTCATCTTGTCCTTCCTTATATTTGCTTTCTCCTCTACCTTCTCCTTGCGAGAAGTGGCTTTAAAATTAGGGCAATCCACTTTTATATATCAAGTTTCCTGTATTCATAACAAATTATAACATTATAAATATTAACATTTTTGTGGAACTTACCTTTGTTCCTTTGCTGGTGTCTCATTTGCTTTCTTTTAAGAAAACTTCTGAATTGTCTTGTCATCAAGATAATGTCGTCCTCAACCTCAGGTTGTGACTAATCACTCTCTGAGTCGTCCACTTTCAGTGCTATGTTCTTCTCCTTTCGCTATTCTCCTATATCAATCTTTTTTTGACTCACTCCTTACTCGTAAGCAATTAGTGATCTAACAAGATTATCAATAGAATAAATATTTAAGTTTTTAGACTATATAATAATAATTATTTAAGCATCATAAGCAGTAGGCAAATAACGAAGAATTTTATTAACCATTTCAGCATTCATTAATTTCCTACCTAATGTATGCAAAGAAGTGACTATTTGAGTAAATCTTATGTACATGTTAGAAATTATTTCATTGAATTACATGCGAAATAATTCATAATCATGTAATAAGAGATTTAATTTAAATTGGTTTACTTCATTAGTCCCTTTGTAAGTAATACAAAGCCTATCACAAATGTCATTTCCACTTTTACAAGTAGAAACCAGCATGTAATCTTTAGACTTAAGAGCACAAAAGAAACTATTTAAATATTTTGCATTTAATTGAGCTGAGTCATATTCTTCTACAGTCCAATCAACAAAAGATGTTTCAATTTTAATGCCATCTACTTGTCTAGTTGGCCTAATATACCATTCTTGAACTAAAATTCACATGTGATAGTTGAGCGATTGAAGAAATGTAGACATTCATATTTTTCAAAAATTGAAAGGGATATTATCAAATAACGGAGGTCTAGTGATCGAATACCCTTCAGGTGTGTTTCAATTTTCAAAAGTAAACATTATCATTTTCAAAAAGTAGTCTAAACTTATAGTTTTGAAACAAAGCTCTGATACCACTTATTGATTTCGTATAGATTGTTGAACCTATGAAATTGTCCTAAGGCTAACCAAGAGGGGGGTGAATTGATAATTTAAAAATTTCTTAAGTTTTTAATAGAAAAATTGATTTAACAAATTTTCAAATTTGATTATCTTTTTGAAATAAGCTTTTCAACCACAATAATAAAATTGTAGAAAATAAAAATAAGGAATATAAAATGACACAAAAATTTATAATGGTTCAGTCAAACACAACCTACATCTACTCCATGAAGACTCTCTCTTCAGGTATTGCACTAATAACAAATTGACTCTCCTTTTACCCCCACAACAAGACAGAGAATCCTTTACAGTTCCTCTCTTCAACCAAGCCCCGGTGCGGCAGAGAACCGTCATTCTTTCACGCTCTCCAAGTGTTGGCAGATAACAGTCATCCTTTCACACCCTCCAAGTGTCGGTAGAGAACTGTTGTCCTTTCACACTATGCAAGCGTCAGTAGAGAACCAGATCTTCTTCAAAGATTTTCTCTAGAGCAACTAGAAAGAAGAAATGAAGATTAATATGCAAAAATCAAAAGAGATTCTTACCTTTGAGCAACCTTATGATCCCTGCACACTCCCACTAGCAAGAACACTCTCTCAAACACTCTCCCATAATCACTCTTTCACTTGCCATTGAAAAAATAACGAAGAACAACTCTTTTCACGTCAACTAAAATACACGAAAAACTATCCAGAAAATTAAAATTTTCTATTTTAAGCATGTGTACGATCGTACAATACAATCATATTTTCGTACGTACGAACATTTCAAAAACTGTTGCGTACAAACCTTTGTGAATCTGTACGAAATATTATCGTACATGATATTCTTCTAGTACAAACCAAGTTCGTATGGTACGAACATTTAAAAAAATTTCAACTTCGTCTGGATGAAAAGGTACCCCAAATTTTCGTACTTTGGACGTCGTCTATACGAACAGGATATCGTACAATACAATCCGTTAAAAAAATTTAGCATTCATCGGGACGAAAAGGGACCCTTCAAACTCGTACTCTGGACGTCGTTTGTACGAACAGGATATCGTACAATACGATTAGTTCAGAAAACTTTGGGATTCGTCAGGATGAAAATGGACTTGTTTATTTCATACTCTGGACGTCGTTTGTACGAACAGGATATCATACAGTATAATTCGTTAAGAAAAAGCTTTGAATTCGTCGGAACGAAAAGGGACCCGTCCAATATGTACTCTAGACGTCGTCTGTACAAAGGAACCTACGTACAATACGATCAAACTTAGAAAAATTTTATTCCTGCAATTTGTTTGACTGCTCATAGGGGAAAATAATTGAACAAATCATCTCGTACGAAATGACTTCGTACAGTACGATTAGTTTAAAAAATTACAAATTTTAAACGCTCCTTCAATGTGTGTGTAGTTATTCAATTACAATCACACTTTAAGACTCCATAAAATAAAAAATACATACTCCATTTACAATGAACCATAATCTAATCTGATTTAAAGTCTTCAACAATCTGGAGTATGATTTTCCTGAAAATGTTAGTACACATAAGCAATAAAAATAATACATCCAAAATATGTTAGAAAAAAAATGTAATTAAAACAATAATATTTGAAATCATAAAAAACATACATATTGCAAGAATATCAAATATCAAAAAAACTAATTTACAACTATCTCAACAAGAACTACATTCGGACTCCGCACCAAATAATTTCTCCTAAAAATGACTTTCAACTTCTATGATAAAATGACATTTTAAAAAAAAACAATTCTTTAAAAAGTGTATAGTCAAACACTAAAAAATAAAAATAAAAAATTGCTTTTTTAGACCACATAGTAGCTAAAAAACTGCGTCAAATGAGCCAAGTGTTTAATATTTGGCTCTTTAAAACATTGCTCGTGCAATCATAGCATTGAATCACATTATTAGATTGAAATTTATACAGAAATGATACAGCTAGCAAACATACAGATTTATGTGGTTAAATTTTCAGTATGAGAACAAATTTGCAGTATTTTAAAATGAAATATCAAATTTTCATTGATGAGAACAAATTTGCAGTAGGCAAAACTTACAGAGGTGAAAAAATGATAGGAGAGAGAGAGAGAGAGAGAGAGGAGAGAGAGAGAGAATTGCAAATTGCTATAGAAAACATACATTTTACACATCTCTGCAGCTACTGGAAGCTGCCTTTGCGCACATGAGAACTACTAACTGAATCAGGAGATGGACTATTCAAAACACATTCCTTTGGTGGTTCACTTTTGCTTCTTCCATCTCCTAATCTTCTCCTACACATTATTTTATTTTCTCTATCCCCTTCACTCTTCTTTGAGTTATTCCTACCTTCAGTGAAGCTATCTAAAGACTCCTTCGAAGCATCATAGAGAGTAACGGCACTGCCACTGCTTTGGAAGAGCACTTCCTCGTCTGATAGACCTTGAATGCTTTCAAGAATTTCAACTACTTGGCTCATTAGAGGCCTTCCTTTGGGATTCTGGCTAAGGCACTGGTAAGCCAAATTAGCCAGCTTCTGTGCAGATTTAATGGAGTATTGGCCTTCAACTCTTGGATCGAGGATCTTTAATAGCTTCCTGTTATGGATCAGAAGTGGCCGAGCCCACTCAACTAAGTTATGTTCTCTGCTTGGTCTGCTCTTGTCCATTGCCTGTCTTCCTATGAGCATCTCAAGAAGTACAACGCCAAAGCCATATACATCACTCCTGGAAGTAAGATGGCCTGTGTTGTATAAACGGTAGAGTTAGTTAAAAGGAGTCTGATAGATGAGATGATCCAAAACTGTAGAATTGGATGAACAAAAAGAGTTTACCGTATGCTATTTTACATATAACATTCAAATCTTATATATTTATTAAACTAATGATTACGCTGCATGTTGAGAGCACAATAAAATTTCAACTTTTATTGTTCATTCCATTGAATTCTCAATGAGTTGGCTGTGACACAAATATATAGGCTTACTAATTAATATTTTTGGTAAAGATATTAGATATGTAAAGAAAAAAGATTTGGTGGTATGATTGTTATTATCACTATATAATAAAGTAAATGGTGGGAATTTTAGGTGGGTACTTTACACAACTCTGATTTATCTTGCAATTATAATCTCTTTTTAACTCATTTATCATGCACATATGCACACACACCAGAACAAATGAGAGGGGAGAAGAGAAATGAGAAGAATATGATGAGCTCTTCTTTCAATTTTTTATTACACTTCCATATTTCATGATAGTACAAGAAACCCCATATATAACGAATGGATTAAAACGAGTTTTACCATATTCTAATGCAACATAAAAATCTACTCAAATATTTAAGGTAAGTAACTCATCTTATACGCTAAACATCAAACAAATTTTCAAATTAAAAGCTCAAGTCTATAGGCGAGGGCTAACTATTTAGTATTTCTATGCTAACTTATTTTTCACCCACCCATCTAATGTTAGGGCTAAATTCTCTCACATGTTTTATCAATTTTCTCCTCACATGAGAACACCTGCATATAGGATACCACTATCCCTAAAACAAAAGCTGTTTAAACAATATCATATATTATGAACTAAAAGCTCACTCAAATATATGATGTTTTCATGGGAATCATATGTTCTCAAACCTTGCTTAACCATGACAAAGGTTGTCAAAACCTATGGAAGCCATAAATTACATGAACCACTTGATCCCAATCGAACTATCACCTCTAAAAATCATTTTTTAGGGAGTGTAAACCAAAGTATGGCTAAAATTTGGCTTATTACAAAAATGTTCAAATTTGGTTTCAATCCAAAAGTTCTTAACCTATGGGTTGAGGGTCAATCATTTGATATTTCTACACCAAAAAACTTTTCACATATTTGATATAGTACTAAAGAAAATACTATAGCATGTTTTAAGATAGCATTATTTTGGCTTTGATGACCTCTTCGGCTTCTACCTCTGTCACAACTACACATGCTTTAGAGTGTCATTTATGTTCTACCCATATATGCAATGTCTTCCTTTAAGCTTAATCTATATTCGGATTACTGGGATACTAACCAACCTTCTAAGCTGTCTCGTTCTTGGTATCCTCCTCCTTCGGAATCGATAAAGCAAAATGTTGATGCTTCATTATTAAATTCTTATAAAGGAAGTGTTGGTGGCATCATTAGAGACCATAAAGGGAGATTTTTATGTGTGTATGGCTCTTCTTGTTTGCATTGGGATAGATCAATTGGAATTGCAATCTATTTTATCATTGAAGAATTTGTGCAAGAATGGATGTATGAGGCTAAAGGTATTATCATAGAAAGGGATAATTATAATGTGATCAAATTTGTTAAAAATTTGGTGAATAAAGGGGAGTTCAATGATGATCTCGGCAAAGCAATTGATTTATCTTTTCTAAAAGATTTTAATCAAGTATTATTTCATTTGAATAGTAGGGATTGTAATAAGTTAGCCGATTGTTGGGCTAACATTGCTCTTTCTTTTGAATTTTTTTTTTATGATATTTCTTGTAATAATATTCCTCCTAATTTTATCTCTTTGTTAAAGGAGAAAAGTGATAGAATAACTATCACTTAGTGGTTTGTAATTTGTTTCTTTAATAAAATTGCTATTAGCATCTTCTCAAAAGAAAAAAAAAAAAGACTTGGGCTCTCATTTTTTTAGAGCATTGTTCCTGTGCTTAAAGTGATCAAATCAACTTAGGTAAAACAATCTTCTTTTGATTTTTAGCTAACAAAAAGATGCTCATATTTCCATATTATAGGCCGAAGAAATTTTTTCAACAGTTGCCCCTTGCCTGCTTTCATTTTGTTTACAATTATAATATGGAAAAATAATAAAAGATAATTTTATTGCCTTTCATATGAGCTCCCATGAACTTTGAAAAGTCTGGAGGATTACCTTGACCTATTCAACACCTATAAAGATGGTGCTATGGATAACCTACACTATTTGTTAGACATTGCTTATGCAATCTTTTTGAACATGCCTTCTTCAACTCCTTGGTCAATAAGGAACAACATTCATAGATCCTTTATCCATTGGTCCTCACTAGTCTGCGATAATCTACATCAAAATTAGCTTATTCTACTAAGGTTAGTACAACATACCCATCAGTGATTATCTCCCAAAAATCATAGGATTCTAAATCCCTATTAAACATTAATATATTCTTTTAGATCCTAAAACTGTACAATCAAATTGTGAAGCATGGGTTACAAATATGACAAACTAACCTAAAACAATAATATATATTGGACAAATAAGATAGTTTAACCCAATTTGTTTATACATATATAATAAGCACTAGTTTATTTCTTTTATTCAATTTTTAGTTTATTTTAGGTAGACCGGTTTTATGTTAAATACTTGATCTACCCAAGTAGTATAAATATCTCTACTATTGTAAAAAAAAGACTCATGGAATGAATGATTTTTGGTTTCTCTTTCTCTAATCTCTCTTATTCCCTAAGGAGTCCACACCTACTCAAAATGTGCCTTCCCCTTCTTGATGTAGATTAAGAAGCATATTAGATGGTGCTCTCGTTGAGACAACTACAACCAAGAAACCTACTTCTTGTGGTAGCTGCGATACTGTATGGCATGTCGGCTAAACTGAGGGGAGATTCTTACGGAAGGAGTGAAATCCTGCTGTTTGGGGTTAGATGATGGAAACCGAAGTTGGATAAAAGACAAAAAAAATATGTTGGCCTATATATGGGCTGAGATGGTTTTAGATGGAAGGGAGGGAGCTCTTTCAACGAAAGCATCATTTATTATAATTCTTGATCTACATCAAGAAGGGAAAGACACCTTTTGAGTAGATATGAACTCCTTAAAGAAGAAGAAGGGGAAGAAGGATCAAAGAGGGAGAAACCATAAATCATTCATTCCACGAGTCTTTCATTACAATAGGAGAGGAATTTATACTGCTAGGGTAAATCAGATATTCAACATAGAACCGGGCTACCTAAAACAAACTAAAAATAGAATAAAAGAAATAAACTAGTGCTTATTATATATGCATAGACCAATTGGGTTAAACTATTTTATTTGTCGAATATATATTGTTGTTTTAGAGTCAGTGGAATATTTTGGTTTCTCCTTTTATGCTTGTAGGTTAGTTTGCCATGTTTCTAGCCCATGCTTCAAAATTTGATTGTACAATTTTAGAGTCCAATAGAATATACTGATGTCTAACAAACTCTCATCAAGATATGATTCAATTGACATGATTCCTCCCTGTCTAACATCAAGACTTAAGGTTGCAACATGCTAAGCATTATCTATTAAGGGAAGAGGTACTTAGCTCTGATATTAATTTGTTTATGCAATACACAACATAAGAAGAGATAGTGAGCACTTTAGGTGGCTACTTCATATCACTGTAGACATTCCACTAGTATCACTCTTAACTCACTCTCTCTCTTCATGTGCATGTAAGCCACTAAAATAACTTAGTGAAAGGAAAATGGAAAAAGTAGGCAGAAATATTTGAATGTCTTCTTATATTTGTTCTCATGTGGCATATTCCATGATAGTATCAGTGGCGCTACATAAAGAAAATGGATTAAGGGGGTTACACCATTTTAATGCAACTTAAAATCTCCTCAAATACTTATGCGAAGTACTATAAAAGAACTCCAAGATAATATAACTTGCTCATAAATTGTAAAGGCTGTTGCATTTAATGTGTATAGCCTCCATTTTGCTTTAAGCTTGTGTTGCTAACATGAAGGCTTTACAGTTTCGAAGTTTAAGTTAAGCAGAGTTATTTGAATAGATAGATTAAAAAAAAGCACGAAAAACAGTTACTTGCTCTAGATGACATCTAGAGCTAGTTTTTGGCTGCTTCCATGATAATAATACATTTTGCGTAGTTTAAAGTTATTACACCAAGACATCAATTTTTACCCTTATTATAAATACTTAACTCTCACCGCAACCCCACCACAACATACATGTAACGCCATAAGTCGAGCATGCCATGACACAAGATGATGTGTGCAAGCATATATGTAATACAAGAAACAAGGCTAAACTTTTTAATTTTTCTCTGACAAGAAAAGAGCATTAACATTCAGGCCAAAGGAGATGATTTTCAATTTCTAGTCAACTTAGAAGGTGCTTAGATTAGATGAAATCAAATCATCTGATTTGTGGTGAGGGTCTGATAGAAATATGGCAATGGTATAAGGAGTATAATCAATTTTTTAAATCATTCCTCTAACAAAGAAAGAACATTAACAAACAGTTCAAAGGAGAAAGACTTTCTTTGTTAGGTCAAGTTAGGAGGTGCTTAGATCAAATGAAATCAAACCATATTTACAGCTAACCTAATCAATTCTTCTCTCTAAGCACACTTACCAGTCATGACATACTCAGGTGCTGCATAGCCATATGTACCCAACACGCGAGTTGAAACATGAGTCTGGTCACCGATGGGTCCCTCCTTTGCAAGACCAAAGTCTGAAAGCTTTGCATTATAATCCTGCAGGTACCATATTTTGAAAGCTAAAATATATACACATAAATATATATCCAAACTTTAAAAGAGGAAAAGTAAAAAACAAAGTAGTTTACAATATTATACTCGTGAAAAACTAGAAGTGCAAACTTCAATTAGACAAACTATTTTTATCATTTACTATTCCATTATGGCTATTTATCTTTTTCTGATGCAAGACAAGCTTCTCCCTTTTGTCAGGGCATAGGTTTGATAAAAAATAACAACAATAACCATTTATCAATTAGCGATGCCAAACATCAGAAAATCTTCACTGCTCTTGAAACCCATAGTCTAAGCTGGGGATTTGAATTAAAAGAGGAATATCCTAATTCTTTTTGAGCTATTGAAGCATCAAACTAATCATTTATAATTCTACCTTAGTTGGAAATTAAGGACTAGTTAAAAACGATATCAGTATTCAATAGAGAGAAGCGAACAGAAAGCAATAACAAATTAACTCGAGAGAAAGAAAGGATTAATGAGTGATAAAAAAGAAAAAGAAACAGCTCAACTTAAATGTAACATGCTGACTATCCAAAAGGAAGTTTTTTTGCAGCATTTAGTATGCAAAGAAAGAGAATAATATCTTGATTGTTTACCACATTTTTATCAACACTCTCCTTGCTTCAAAATTATTGAAAGCAATCTACTTACCACATTTTTATCAACACTCGCATTACTATGATAATCCAATGCAGAAAACAAAACTGAAATTATAAACCTCAGCGTAACCTACCGCATCCAATAAGATATTTGATGTTTTGAAGTCCCGATAGATAATGGGTCTCTCAACTCCATGAAGAAAAGCGAGCCCTTTTGCAGCACCCAAAGCAATCTTCATTCTAGTGGACCATGTCATGAAGGATACTCCTGTTAAGAACATGAAGACAATATTAAATGAATTAAATCAAGGCATTCAATTATCAAAATAGTGTAATGAAATTATAAAGGTCTGAGACAAAGTAAAAAAATGTCAAGGCTTATAATAAAACAAATTTTAAAATATGATAGTATAATAGTAGAAACTCTTCTAAATTATTTTTTGTAGGAAATAATATAGATTATTGTTTCATTTACAACATATATTGAAAGTGTTAAATTTCTTACTTAAACTTCCAAATTTAACAAGAAGAAAATTAGAAATACTCATTTACGTGTTAAAACTAAATTTATTTTATAATGTAGAACAATTCAAATATTCATGCAAATCATCATGCATGCATCACAAGCGATAGAAAAAGAGTACTTAAATATTCATAATCCCAAAACTCCATCCTTTCAGACCATTGTTTACAATAATTCATAAATAAATAGTTGATTTTGAAGATTATTTGTTACCACTTAAAATTTTCTACTCCTGCTAAACATGCATAATCGACCTGTTAAAAGAGAAATTTTTACTATTATGGTAGGCAAAAAGGTTTCAAGAATCTAAAGTGTTACATACGTCGAAAAAGGTGTTTTTCGAGGCTACCACAAGCCATGTACTCATATACCAGCAGCCTGTGTTCACCCTCACAGCAGTAGCCAATAAGTTTAACAAGATTCGGATGGCTAAACTGTCCAAGGTAGTTGACTTCTGCCTGTAAAAGTTCAAAAAATGGTTAGTCCCGATAATGGAAGATGTACAGAGAATTCGTTTCTGTTTCAGAATAGAGCTCTTTAATACATTATTTTACGTAGTTGTTTTCTTTGTTGGAGTTAGAACCAGAACTACAAAAAAAGTAAGAATATAACCCTCCTAATGCTTTAATACATTGACGTTTCATATAGCTGATTATAATGGATTGACAAGGGTTACTGGTTTATATGATTTAGCTGATTATACATTGACGTTTCTAGATGCAGGACTCATGTTTGCCTGCCATAATAAGTCAGCCATGAAATACAGATTCATATATGTGGTATGCACATAGAATCTCCGATAAGCATTTCCTACAGTCTCTACTTGATGTTAACAAGATTATTTGACATTCTGAGAAAAGTATAGCTAGAATTTAAATAGAACAAAAATCATGACTAGCCTACAATCTTTGCTTGATCTAAAAGGACCAAAATCCAAGACCTTTAATAAATTAATGTGTCAATCTTCTTGCAACTTTCAAAATCTCATTTTCAAGAAACTCTAAGAAGTCTTTATTTGTAAGCAACCAATGAGAAATACTATCAAGAAACACTTTGTTGTTGTCCATAGTTCTAACGTAAACTTGATAACCTTGAACCAACTAAATCTAATTATAAATGCTAAAAACTACATATAATAACTGATGAAATCGTCACACTACTTTTAGCACAGAAAAGTGAATTATGGATTAGAAAACATACCAGCCACTCCCTGTCTCCCTGGATGCCCTCAGGATTGAGCACCTTTACAGCAACTTGAGTAGACGGGAAACCAGCTCTTATGCTCTCCTCTATCATCCCTTTATATACAGTTCCAAACCCACCCTGCCCAAGAACTTGATCTGTCCGAAAATTCTTTGTGGCCAGCTTTAACTCATTATATGTGAATATGCTGACATTTCCATGACTAGATTTCTGCCGCAAATCTTCCACATCTTTGGTAGCTGTAAGCATAATGATGGCACTATTCTCCTCTGATGTAGGATTCTTCAGCTTGTCCTGAGATGGATGTGCCACTGGTTCAGATCAAAAGGCACTCGTTAGCAATTACAAAATATTGTATAAATAAATTTGAAAACTAATACAGCTAAAAACATATTCAATTCGGATTTTCACATTATTTCTGTTTATTCCATGTGTTGAATTCATATATGGTTATAAAATTCAAAATCAATCCCTTTTCAAAAGAAAAAAACTTGACATATGCAGATTGATATTTATTATATTCCACCCAGTTTACTTCGAGTCTCATAAACACCCCATTCATATCCTGTCTTTCTCAACATTCAAATTTGTTAGTACAACGCCAATCTAGAGTGTGTAAATTTCATTTGATTGACATTTTTTAAATAAATTATTGGGCTCCTTAAATCTCGTATACTTTACATTAAAAATATTTTAGAGATAAATCTAAACTCTTCCTCTCTGATCTAATGATTTTTTTTTCATAAAAAAAAAAAGAACTAATGATTTCAAGTTAATGAAAAAGAAAAATAAACACTTAATTTATGCATTTATTCTAGAGCTTCATTTTGCTTCATAATTGAAGTCTTTAAAAGTTGCTAACCACTTTCCCAAATAGAAACAATCATATTAGTTCAGTAGAAATCTAAAATATCTCTCACCTCGCCCTAATAAATTCAAAAAGAAAACCTATTGCTCAGGCTACTTCAAACTTCGATACTTTCTATATATAAACGATTTTATCGGCATGAATTTTTTTGCCTGAAATTCGATATAGTAACCCTTTGGCCATACCGATGTGTACTCTCTCACGAAAAAAATAGTGCGCGATCGGCATCTCAACGCATTGAAACACAGCATTTCTCCCTATCTAAGCAAAAAATAAAAACAATAAAACAAACTTTGTATGGGAAACTTTAGTATACTTACCAGATTTTATCTTGAGGGGCTGGCTAGGATCAGATGTCATGCAGTTCCCCATGGATTCCAAGATCTGCCGCCTAGAAATGGCTGGAAATGCAATCTCGTCCGTCCATCTGTGATCTAACGGACTTCAAAAGTCACACAATAGGATCAAAACGCCGGCGATTTAAGCTAAGCCAGTCCAAGATCTCCGACTACTGCTAGGGCTCAATTAGCTTAAAGAAATTATTCCTTCCTCTACAATACGCCAGCAGAGCCAATTCAAGCTCTCTATCTCTCTCCCTGATCTCTCAGTTTTATGCATTAAGCTTTCGAGATAAGCCGCTGGCTTGATTTAAAAACTACGAGATAGCCACTTCAGGAGAGGATAGCGACAAACCTGAGAAGGGGCAGTTTAGTAAATAAAAGTATTTAGCGGTATACTTTAGTCAGTGTGAACAAGAGTGTCGGAGTTCGACGCGGTTCGACGCCGGCAGAGGGCGGCCGGAGTAAATCGGAGATGAATTTGGAAGTACCGATTTAGGGTTTTTAAGTTACATGTTTCTGGGTCTTACTGATTCAGCGTTAGAAATTAGCGGGTAAGAAACCATGGGATAGCCACTTGCCTTACGAGTTAAAAATATGTGCTATAAAAGTAAAGCAAAAAATTCAGTTCTGTCAAGCAAGTTGGTTGTTGAAGGGTAAATTTAAAATCAATATGAATTTATTTTATTCTTTTAGTGACAACTTTAAGATTTGCATTTTGTACCACTATTAATAGATTATGACACTATTACAATAATATGAAATCATAAAATCAATGATGCAGATTTTGTCGATGATGATCATCACTGATTGGATCTTGATATTCGCAGTGCCAATTTACATTATTTTTTCACTAGCAACATTTAACACCCACTCGCAAATAGTCTATAGCATTTACACGTATACTTGCATCTTTATTGCCCGCTTTAAGGGGTCATATTGCCTCCATTTGCATGCCTCGTTTTTATCGCTAGCTCATAAGTTTGTCATTCATATCACTTAACATCTTTTTACGCAACTTTGACAATCCACTTTATTAGTGGGTTGCAATATCCCTACTATTCTATTTAGATTTAGGATTTGCTTTGCGATCAATCATGTCACATATACCATTTCAGGTAACTTTGTTATATAAGAATTTGTGTTTTTCATCATAATATTTCATCTACTACTAAATTAACAAGTCATCATGCTAGAGATGTTGCCTACAAACATTTAAGTGTATAAAAAATCCTAGAAGATATTGACTTTCTAAAATATGAGTAGAAATTTTTGGGCATATATTTTTAAAATTATACTTATCATTCACAAGAAGAAATTATAGGGAGTGATTGTAGTTCAGAATAATCATGACAAAATTATTCATTATTGAAGGCTTCTAACAAGTTATAGGTATTTCTAAAAGAATCTTTTTTTGATCTCTTAAAGGGCATAATGGCCAAAGTAGAAATCCATCAATTTATTATGTATATATATCTCTCAAAACTAGAGTGATCATAATTTTAACCTCATGAGTTCACAATACTATTTGGATGATAATTTATATTGAAAAGATAATGATTTGCTAACATATTAAGTTGTTTCTTCATTAGCCTAAAAGAATATTTTAAAGGCTAATTTTAAGCTCAAATGACTCCTTAATTATTTCCTAAGGGCTACTCAATTTTCAAATAAAAAATCCAAAGTAAAAAAAAAAAAAAAAAAAAAAAAAAAAAACTAGACAATGACTAATTGGATGATCAAATTACATGATTATATGATCATACAATTATATGATTAATTCCAAATATAGAGAATTTTTTCTAATAATTTGTACGAGAAAACATAGTATTTTTATAAGTGTTGCATGCCGGAACATTCTCGATGGTAGAGAGATATAGGATTTAACGTCCTAGCTTTATATGAAAATCTAGCACACGCACATATAAGTGAGAGAGTAACAAGAGCAATAAGAGTCATCAAGATTTTTGTGGAATACCCTAAAAAATGAGAAAAACCATGGGTCTAGTCTAGTTAAAAGGATTCTACTAGTGTTTGTAGTCGATTACAAATGATGCCCTTTATTGGGGAAACGCCTTGGCTCAATGTAGAAAATATACATCATATAAAGCACAATTAATGGTGGGATTTGGAAGAATCAAGTGAGATGAGACTTGTTATCAAAAGAATATTGGCATATTCATTTGGTCGATATGAGTGTAGTTAGGCGACGAAGGTCAGAGGGACCATAGTTGGTTAGGGACATAGGTCAAACGGACCATAGTCGATGAGCGACGGAGGTCGGAGGGACCATAGTTGTTGATGAAGAAGGTCGGAGTGTCCGTATTCAGTGGGCATCGGAGGTTGGAGGGAATGTAGTCGATTGGTGATGGTGGTCGAAGGAACTGTAGTCGGTGGGTGACGGAGGTCGGAGGAGCCGTAGTTGATAGTGATGAAGGTTGGAGGGACTGTAGTCGGCGGGCACATTTGGAGAAGTTAATGATTCAAATGGGAACCCAATTACAAAGTCAAGCTGCTTCAATTAAGAACTTGAAAAATTAATTAGGATAACTTTGTATTTTCTTTTAGTAGTAGATCCTATGGTACCTTGCCAAGTAACATTGAGGTTAATCCAAATGAGAAAGGGAAATATCATAGTCGGTGGGCACATTTGGAGAAGTTAATGATTCAAATAGTCTATAGCATTTACACGTATACTTGCATCTTTATTGCCCGCTTTAAGGGGGTCATATTGCCTCCATTTGCATGCCTCATTTTTATTGCTAGCTCATAAGTTTGTCATTCATATCACTTAACATCTTTTTATGCAACTTTGACAATCCACTTTATTAGCGAGTTGCAATATCCATACTATTCTATTTAGGTTTAGGATTTGCTTTGCGATCAATCATGCCACATCTTGTAAGAATCCAATCAAATCAATAGAAGAAAATCATCGTCTCGATAATATCAATAAAATCAATCTCTATCAATCATCTATGGTCAAAATCAAACCAATACGTCGTAAAAATGATTGAAATCAAATCAATACAGTAAAACCTATTCCATATCAGTCAATGAATCACATGCAGTAGTTCAATACGGTGTATCAATGAAATGATAGTATCAATGAGTCAATATTAATAAATCAGTATCAATGAATCAATAGTATCCATGTCCATAGTATCAATAAGTCAATGCAATGTTGATATCCATATCAGTAGCAGTATCAATGCTCAGTGAAATAATGCGAATATCAATGAAATCGTACAGAAAATCCGTAAATCTGTTTAAAATCAATTAAATCAATAAATCCATCACGAGATCAATATGTTAATACCGTACACATGCACTTCAATACAATAGTCTTACTGAACAAGTACAATCACTGGCTATTAAGGCGTTTTTCAATCCATAGTGTTGTTGTAGAAATCCATAAATATACATCCGTTGGTTCAATAAGAGTCGTCACTCTGTGCCCGTCGGCATAAGAATCTCCATATGCCTCCCAATCGTTATATCAATGATCAATAGAGGATATCGCCAAACCCTTTTTAAAGGAAAGCCCGTCGGCCCACCATCCTGTACAGGTCAAGTCAATCTCCAACCAACGGTTCAACCAGTCTTCACTTATCTTTCAGTAACAATAACCGTATAATAATCATATATTCACATTCGTATGCATAACAGTTCAAATAATCAATTTCAGAAAATAAAAAATCGTACGAAAATCCAGCGGCATAACTGCAGTATACATAATTTACACAAAAATCACAGAATTCACAAATTACCAAATTAGTACAGAACGTTCACAACAACATTATAAGACTTTTATTCTACTGCCCAAACAATTTCAGACATCACCAGAAATTACAGTCAAAATAAAACACCGCCAAATCAAAACTATCCGGTCAAAAATCTCCAGAAAATAATCAAATCGTGTAGAAATACCATATCAGAAACATATCAAAAGTTGTGCGGTAAAGCTTTCGTCAATACAAAATGATGCGTGTTTTTCGGTAACGAAAATACAAATCTGAGCATAGAAATACCAAAACTCGACATCTTCGAAAACAGAAATAGGGTTCGGAGTCCTTACTGCGAGATAAACACTTCTCCCAACAGCGGCGACGGACGAAAAGTGCTCCGCGGCCTCCGAAATCCAGCTTTTCCTTTGCTTTCCTTCTCCTTCTCTCTCCTCGGATATTTTGAAATAAAAAATGATTTTCTCTCTCTTCAAAACGAGCTGATTTCCTTTTAATACACACCTGATCGGCCCGGTCGATCGCCACATCGTCCAGGATGATCTGAACAAAATTCAATCATCCAGGATGATATCTCAGGACGATAATTAATTTCCTTGGACGATAAAATCCCTTACTCACTGACTTTTTCCATGCACTGATCGTCCTAGGATGATCCAAAATCAGCCCGGACGATCCACTTCAAAAATCAGCTAATTCACTGATCTTTCTGAACGATCTCAGCATCGTCTCGAACGATCCTAGAAGGAAATCAAATAAATGAGCTCTCACAATCTCCCCACCTTTGAAAAATATCGTCCCGACATTTCCCTAAAGGTTCGAAGCAAAACGAGACAAAACAAATCCAAATCAAAATCAAAATTAAAACTCGTCGAAAATCATATAGATCACATAATTCATTCAATCACATGTCACTATGCATGGTCATATATCAATCAATCAATTAGTCAAATCGTCTTACCATTAGAACTTTCCGGTTGTCGTTGATCTTCATAATGCTGTAAATTGTAGACACGTGGCACCACTGGAGGAAGTGCAGGAGGTCGTAGCGCAACGGTCTCCCTCTGACTATCTCTGACAGCTCTATCAGCTCTATCATTCATCCGGTTCATTGATCTTTCACTATAGGCTCTTGAGCCAATAGTCTTCTGTCCTGTACCAGAATCAGTTCTTTCGCCCAATCTTTTCTGAGGGCAATTTGCTGCTCTATGTCCCTGCTGTCCACAGTGAAAACATTGTCCCGTCAATAAGTAACACCGACCTGCATGTCGTCGACCACAATGAATGCACTCATTGTAGCTTCCAGAAGACGCTACTGATGCAGGTATAGATCCCCTCGAATCACCATACTTGCTTCTCTTATCTCTATCTCTTTCTCTACTCTGTTCATCTCTTCTGCTTGATTCATCTCTACTCCTTATGGTGGCTTCATATCTTGATACTGGTGTTGTCAAATCAATCTCTATCAGTTTGGCCCGCTCTACCAACTCAGAAAACTCATGAATCCGGAAGGGTACTAACGGATGTCTCAGCTCTCTATTCAATCCTAACAGAAATCTATAACATTTTTCTTCTGCCGTAGGGATCAAATGAGACGCATACCTAGCAAGTGCAGTAAACTCGGCCTCGTACTGCATCACTGTCTTGCGTCCTTGTTCCAATCTCATAAAAGCTTCTTGCATTTGTCGTTGAGTTGATGGAGACACAAACCACATCCGAAATACTGTAGTGAACT